TATTGATAATTATGATTATTCTCTGATATTAAAGAATGTTAGTACCCCCACTGTGTACTGAAATTTTACGATTGCAGGTAGCTAAAAATTACAGTTTCTATAAATTTAATGGTTTGCCTTTCAACTTATGATGTAGGTGGCAGGGGTAATTGCCTGCTGATGGTTGTAATACAACACTTATTACTACTGATAATCTCAGTTTTTTAGCTTGCCATTGTGATCATTTGACTAATTTTGCTTAGAAATTAATCACAATGACAGCTACTCAATGTCTTTTATAGAATGTATCTAGCTGCTAGAGTTAATGAACCTATCCAACCCCCTCAATATGTCACTGTTACACTAGAATTTGTATCAAATTCTTGGTGTGTGTCTCTCAGAGACTCTCACTAGTGAGACTAGTACTAACAATTATCACTTCAATTATTTTAAAGTGAGAATGCAATTACTGTATTTCTTTAACTATAGATGTATTTTTTGTAATAGGAAATTAAGCACAAGAGAAGCTAGCAAATTTCACATTCAGCTTTGCCTCTCATTACTTTTCATGCTAGTAGTTTTGTCATTGGTATTGATAGAGTATCGGTGAGAGCTGGTTGTATAACAGTTGTGTTCTCAATACATTACTATGTTCTTGTTGCTTGGATGTGAATGGCAGCTGAGGCTTTACTAATGTTTCAAAAACTAGTCATTGTATTCACAGACATAACATGGAAATGTAAGAATATGATTATACAACAATGATTTTTCATGCTTTATTAGCTCTACCACTCTTACCAGTTATAATCACATTAGTAATTATGCTGATTTCTATATTTATTTGTACTAACCAGAAAACCAGTCTGGATTGTAAGTGGCAGAGTATTCATTTTTATTGTCCTTTATTGATTTTTTGTTTGTTAGCTGTTTCATTAATGACATGATCCCTTTTCTTGCTGCTTTTCTACTTCCAGTCTTCGTCATACTTATCTTCTACATTACTATATATATCATTGTTATTTGTGTTCTTCTCCACACTATTCATAAGAACAAGAGAATGAGTAAGTCTCAACTCACCACATCTGAAGCAATAAAAATGATGCTATCTTTTTATGGTATTTTGATGCTGTTGGGTCTCATGTGGCTATCTGCTGTCTTCACATTTATTACTGAGCCTATAGCATCTCATTCATAGTTCAGTTCTTTTTTGCTTTCTTCAATGCTTTTCAAGGATTCTTTACACTCTCCTTTTTTGTCATCCTGAGCAGTGACTCAAGAGATGCTTGGAGATTACTCCTCTGCCCTTGGACTCTTGTGGATGAAAAGAAACAACAGACATCCACAACTTTAGAAACAAAACTTCAAGTAATAAAATCATGTCACTGCAGAGGAAAAAGGCACCAAGAAATGCAATTTTAAGTTATGGAGGAAAAAGTATGCTCGATGAAAAACAGGCACAATTTAATGATAGATTAATATTTGAGAATGAAGCAATTCTTGAAAATGAAGTATTTTCTATTGATGACGAGTTCATGATGTATGAGTTCAATAATATTTGTTTTGATCGTCAACTTTCTACTCGACGTAAACATCTTGTAGAAAAAATTGAGATTGATTTTTTTGATGTTGATAAAGATGATTGAAATGTGAAGCATAAACATTTTCTTTTTATTAGTTAGTTTGTCAGTTATTTGATTTGATTTGTGAGACAATCACATGTCTAGCCATAGATCAGCTTAGTCTCTGTTAATGCATTTAAAATTGTTGTTAGGGATTGTAGTGTTTGTCATCAATTTCATATTAGTCTAGTATTTTGTTACCTTAGTGAGATCAATGTGTGTTATAGTTATTATATTGTGTGATGCATGTTATTCCACTTTTGACAAAATTAATGGTTTTAGTGTCATTGTTTAAAAGCATGGCAGCAATATTTAATTACTTCTTTATTGAGATTTTTAAGCATTTCGGTATAGTGCTCACCTTCTTGTCAGTACGTTTTAAAGTTGCTGAGAAATCTGGTCAACTTGAATTTTATCAAAAATAAAAAAGCATGAGTCATAATTTTTCTGATGCATGTATTGAAATTTTAAGTTTATTCCAATCAAAATTTGACTTCTTATGAATATCTAAAGTTGCTCAAAAATTGGGCAAATTGGTCAAATTTTTCTAAAAATGAAAAAGTAAGGATTTTCTATTTAAAAAATTTTTAATGAACATACATGTTTTTTTATGTTGCATAGATATTTTTAGCCCATTTCAATCAAAATTTGATTTTATACAAAATTTTAAATTTGTAATAATGTATTTGACCCCATGTTTGTTACATTTATTAAACAATGCTCATCATGTAACGTATGCCATTCAATTGATGGTAATTTCTTTCATAAGACACATTATTTGCTCTCCTTTCTCATTGTAAGCTGTTATTCTGGCATTATACTGACCCTACAAAATAGGATAGTAGCATGGAAAGGTTGTCTGTTTGTTACTAACTGGCCAAAGGAGTTTTGACATTGTAGCACTAGCATTCACATCATATATTCTTGGATGTACTGGACAATATTTCTTAATTATATCATCTAAGTAGTCACATAAATTAAATTTCTCATCAAGGAAAGTAATATTAGTATAATTCTTGAAGTTATGTGTCATTGTTAGATGCACTATACCCCAGTGTATCATTCTCTCTATAGATGGTTCATGTTTATTCATGAATGTTATGACTAACTGATCTTTAGTAATCCTTTCCAATAACTCTTTTCCCCACGTTTTAATGGAACTGGAATTATTGATGCATTATTGAGTTCACCAAATTTCTTAGTAATAGCTTAAAATTAATAAAATAAATCAATAGTGTATTAATGAACTTACAACAATCTGTGATTTCTTTATTACCAGTAGGTTCTTGTTGTTGATAGTATAGAATTCAAACAGGTAGATACATATTATCCATTAGTATAGTATATAGTTAGTATCTTACCATTATAGTAATTGTTAGTAGATCCAGTCAATGTAGATACTACTAGTACAACTGATAGGATCATCAATAGGGCACTCATCTCCTTTCTTGTTGGTAAATGTTTGCTGTTAGTGATGTTGAAAGTGGTAGTGGGAATGTTCCCCTTATATGTTGCAACAATTGTTTACTAAACACGACATGTGGTGTATATCTTGCACCTGCATTGAAAAACATGCCCATCTTTAGTAATTTCTTTCATTTTAAACAAATTACTGTATGCTAGGGAATGGTCAGGTTGTGATACTATAGCTGCAATTAATGATAGTGCCTACTTTGTAAAAATCAACATTTCCTGTCTCGTTGTGAAGGTTTGAATTGAAGAGGTGTGAAGGTTCATTGTGAACAAGGATCTTATCTTAAATTTAAATTGATTTGACGATCAAAATTTTACAAGCATTATGAATCCGAAAATTAATCAATACTAATATCAAGCATCAATATCAATATTAAAACCAAGTCCTAGTTCATTCCTAGCTTCAGTCCAGTCCTCAGCTAAAACTATTGCTGCATTACCATAACTGCCTCTTACAGCAATGAATGAGCTTAAGAACTTTTGATAATGCTTTTGTACTTGAGGTAACTTCCTCATAAAACCAAGACTAGCCTTGAACTCATCAATGCACTCTTCCATTGAAGGAGCACCTCTAACTTCATTTAATAAGCTTTGCTGTGTACAATTGATTGACAGACCAGAAAAGACTTTTTAGGCAAAGAATTAAGAGCAGCATAATAAGGTACAAGAACATCGTCAAACACTTTCTCTATAATAGAGGTCAAAAGGTCAGTATTATCATTTACTAGCTCGATCCTCCAGTGATGTTGATTCATTATCATTACAACTATATTCAAACTTTAAAATAGTATCTGTAACAGGAAGTGATCTTGGGAAGGATTTTACTCCATCAAATTTGACAGTCATCGTTTTTAGAGGCATTATCTTGCTATTGCTAATAAATTGTACTCTAATACGAGGAGGGTAAACAAGGTTTTCTTGAAACAACTTCAAATTTTCAATTTGCTCAATGGAAACCTAAATAATTCTAAACATACTATTGAAGCTGTAATCACATACAGTAGGATCAATAAATATTTGTCCCATTAATCCTTGTCCACCCAACGTCATCATCAGGTTCATATGTAAGAGAAACACTATTACTATCAAAGGTCACTTGTGGAAGAACAGGTGCTAATATAAATCAAGATTCAGTACACTGTGACTCCACCATCTAATAAAATGTAAGAGTGGTACTTGTCTTGTAAAATCAATTTCCAGCTGTCTCATTGTGAAGGTGTGAACAAGGTGTGAAGGTGGAATGGTGTGAACAAGTAACTGGTGTGAACAGGGAACTTACAACTATTTTGATAATCAAAAATTTGCTATAAAATTAATTTTTGATTAATTCAGAATAATAAAATAATATTTGAACGAAAATATACATAAAATGAAAAGCAATTAATTATAATAATTTTTTATAATTGTCTAATAGTGTCTGTGCTAGTCTATCAGCTCTTCTTGTATTCTCTTGTTTAATTATTTCTAGAAACAACCCAAAATCTTCTCCATCCTCTCTAATGGATGCTTTAACTAAACTAAGTAGCTCGTCCATTCTTTGATTAGCAGTTAGTCCAGTGCTTGTATCAATAATCTGGCCTTTTTCAGCTTCACTTATCATCCTCTTCTCAACCAGCCTGTCTATCAGCGGATACAAGCCAACCCTTTCCTTTATCATTCCAGTACATTCTGTCATTACTCTGTGAGCAAAATCAGATCTAAATGTACCTATCAATGATACAAATTCAGTGATTAGTCACTAGTGTGTTATTATATTAATATCAACTTACTAGCTCCTGATACTGATGTTGATTCATGTACTACATTAGAGGAGGAGGAGGAGGTAGTAGGATCTGATTGATATTACTTAAATGAACAATCAAAATTATTTATCTATTACTTGATGAAGGAGAAGTTCTCAGTGACTGGTGAATGAATAATGTTTTAGGACGAACCACTCCATCCAGTGGTATGGAATAGTGCAATGATGAGACAGCATCAATTGTTTCATATACTGATATCAGGCAACATGAAGGAAGAGAACAATCTTTTCTTCCAAATTTATCAACATCATCTTGATATAGCTACATTGTACATGTACATGTGTTACAGCAACAATGATTATATCAGTAACATTAAACTTACTCTGCATGGTTCTATATGAGGCTCAATAGTCCATCCAGTACTGGGTTTCTTCTGTGGAGTATCAAACATCAATTCAATGTATGGACTATCATCACAATTGGGCATAAAACGAAAGTAAAGATATTGTCCAATCTTAGCACAAGAATGCTTCTTCTTTATAAACTATTACAATAAAAAGCAATGAGACATCTATCAATGAAATACAATCATTACCTCAGTGAGGGCACTTAGTTTCTTAGCTGCAGTGAAGGAAACCAAATCTTCTGCTCTGTCCTCTTCATAATAAAGTATACCGGCATAAGTTATGACTCTTCTTACACCAGTGGACAGTGTTTCTACAGTGATACATAAAATACCATTTTACATCAGTGCATGCACTTACTGTGAACTGGGTCACCAAAGATATCTTTTGTTGAAACTTCAGATTCATTCTCAGTTTCAGACACAAGGAGAGGGATTGCTGCTGCAGAACCACTTGCTTTTGTAGCAATTATTGTACCATCATTTTCCGGCTTCCCCTTCTCTCCATCCTTAGACACTATTAGTAAAGTAAAGGCTACACTGACTATAGATATAAGTTAACTAACTGACCTTTGGCTCCACTAGCACCTGGTGCAGTACTGCTGGTCTTATCACTGGAGGAATCACTGTCATCATCATCATCTCCTCCCTCTTGGTCTCCCTCCTCATCTTGCTCATCCTCCTCTTCTTGTTCTTGTTCCTCATAATTCAACTGCTCCTCAGCTTCTTCCTCTGATTCCTCTCCCTCCTCATCCTTCTCTTGTGGTTGCTGCTCCTCCTCTTCCTCCTCTCCTTCCTCTGTGTCTCCATTAACTGATGCTATAGGGACACCATTACCTCCTTCATTAGCTGATTCTTCTCCCAGTATGCACACCAAACAGAACTCTTTACGCTCAATGGCTCCATACCAGCTATCAGTTTTAAACACTCCTCCCTCAACTATGGAGAACTGGTAAGGAAGACTGGGTGTGCTAACGGGAGCTATGGCAAACTTGAGATGACGACTAAGACCTGGTCGTCCTGTTAAATCAATGCAGTGCTGTATTTCTAATATGAGCCGTTTGAGGAGAGGCTTTGAGAGTGATACTGCATACACAGCACTCACTAGGACAGTATTAGGAGGAAACTCGAACTGTCCTCCTACAAGAGCGACCACTGCTACTTCTACTGTCTCAGAGGACAGTAAGCTCTCCTTTTGTACTCCAATCCTTAGACCATATTTCTCCCAATTCATCAGTTGAGGTTTGTCTCCTTGGATTAAGAACAGCTTCCTCTCTGCTACCTGGACATCACTCAGACAATCCAATTTATCTATCAATTATACAAAATAGATACAGTGAGTAGTACACGCACAATTGTATACACTCAGTCAGGGTTTCCCACAACTTGCCACAAGGCATGCCAAGTGAGCTAAACAGCATGAGCTTCATGAGCTGACAAGCACTACAATACAACAGTACATGGCATTTTGAGCAACTTTAAAAAATTTATAAAAAATCAAAACATGATCGGAATAAGCTCAAAGTTAATACACAACATAAGAACTGCACATGTACATGTATATGTATCAGAAAAAAAATTATAAAAATGGTGAATGCCCTCCTTGAGATTTCTGGCAAAATACACTATACTAGAAGCTGCATGAGACTATTTTAGGAAACTCTGCACTCTGTCAGTCACACAATAATACTCCTACCCATTGAAGGGATCAGGTAATTAAATTGTAGTCCAATGGAACTAGTCTCTTTGCTTCTCTCTTGTCTTTCCTTCACTAGTTTGGCTATGTACAAGTCCTTTTCTTTAAGATCTATAAATTAATAGACTATTAATAATTATTATTGATTGATGATGATACACTAACCAGTAATGATCTGTTTCTCATTCTGTGATTGTTCCTCTACTTGTGATGTTAGTTTCGCTATACCTTTGTCTTTCTCAGATATTTTACTTTTGAGATTTTGATTGTCATCTACACAATAAACATATTCTCTCATCTAATACATGCTGTGAGTATAGTTAACTAACCAATAATGATCTGTTTCTCCTTCAGATATTGTTCCTCCATATCAGCAACTTTGAGTTTCAGATTCTCATAATCTTCTAGATTAATAGAATATTCTCTCATCTAATATTATGTACTGATGATACACTAACCAGTAATAATCTGTTTCTTCTCCTCTACTTGTGTCTTCTCTTCCAATATTTCAGTTATATATACTTCATTATCGGCAACTTTAGCTTTGAGCTTCTCATAATCTTGAACAAAATACAATAATAGAAAGTAAATCATATTTGTAGCTTATAAAAATTTGCACTGTATGTACATAGCCCATAAATACATGTACTATGATTATTGCTAATGATACCATATGGTAAATCAGTTGGTAACCATATATGGTAAATCAGTTAGTACAGTTAAAGTGTGTGTGTAGTATCCTATATACCTTGTTTATTGGCCTCAACCAGTGCCTTTTGTAGTGATACTTTGCTCTGATGAGCCACTTGTAGGTCTTGATGTAAAGATTGTATACATCTCTGAAGCTTCATTTCCTTCTCTGTGGGATTTTCTATTAGCTGATCCATCCACCATGTTCTGGTCTTGCTGTACGATTGATATTTTCCTTGATAGTTCTTACTAGTGAGATAATTACCATCTAAGTACTGACTGTACTATCCACTCACCAGCTTCACTATATACTGAGAGACAACAAGATATATTATAAATAAATGTACAGTATATTCTTAAATAAAAGCCCGGGCATCTATTTCTAAAATGGTATTTGGACCTCAGAAAAAATGAAAAAATTTTTAAAAATTTTGACTCAGAGCGGGATTCAAACCCGGGCCTCATGCAATTGACTTTAGACACTTAAGGTAGCATCCACAAGGCTACAGAGTTATTTTCAAGCTACTTTTGCGTATTTATAGGTCAATTCTATTGCTACGCCGGCGTTTATTCGCATCTGGCTTCTATTTAAGAATATACGGTATTTAATTTATAAACTAATGATATCATTTATAGTGGTTGCAAATGCACACCCACACATACAGTGGTATTGTAGCCGGTGTGTACAGTATACAAAATGAATGGAAAATGTACGTCATATTAGGAACTGAAATTTACAAATAATGTACACACTATAAAATGAATGTGAAATTATTGGGGTGAGCCTGAGTAAGCCCCACTAAGGCAAGAAATGTCTGTTTGTCTGTACGTACGGGCATGATGATAGGGTCGTCTAACTATTATTAAAGTTAAATAGCCTAATCTTCATTAAAAGCGGGTGTGGTCACAATGAATAAAATGGCATCTATCAGCAAGTCTGAGCTCATTTGCAGCAAACCAGGGACGGATCTAGGATTGAATTTTTGGGGGGGCCATAATGATATGGGTGGGGTAATTAGTGGGTGTGGTCAACTAGGCCTGCAGGATTTTATTTGGGAAGTCAAAATTTTGAAGATTAGGCCTCTTAAATGAGCTCCTTTGTGGTTTACAGACTGTTTACACAGTCAAGTACTGCAGCTGTTTCACAGTTTACATAGATAAAACTAATTTTATACTTGACCAGAAAAATTTTTGGGGGGGCCTGGCCCCCCCCCTAGATCCGCCCCTGCAGCAAACAGTCAGCAAGATAAAGCTAAACTGCTGTCCAAAGACTTCTCTAGCAAGAAGAAAGGTTGGAAGAGCAGTTATACATTCTTTTTTCTTGATATAAAGTACTTTGATAAGTTGAATGCAAGTGATAAAGTTGTACTGTAGCTAGCTGCATGCATGCATATTCTAGGTGATGTTTCTTTTCTAGCAGCAAGCCTAGGTTAACAAAGCAGATGTACAATCTTCTTAAAATGTGTGACTGCTTCTAACTATAAGGAAGATAACTTTAATTGCTGCAGAGATTCAGGTTTAAGTAATGAAGTGATAGAGAAAATTTAAGCAATTTAATAAGACTGCAACAAGATCTGTATTTAGACTTGTGCAATTGCTTAGCTTGCTCATACATGCCATGTAGATCATACATACAGCACAATCTATAGCTTGCTTAGACTTGCCCCTTTAATGTTTTACATTCTTCTAGTTTAATGTAAGGAAGTGGATATTGGTCCGGCAGCCGGACGCCTACTGCGCGGCTATTGATCCGGCAGTCCCTATATAGTATACTGGGGCTTCGCCCCAGTATACTAATACACGATTTTATATACAGATATCAAGTATAAATACGACAATCAGCAACGTTGATGCAGCAGGGTTGCGGTGGTGTAGTGGAGAGGCTGGTCTGGATTGCACGGATGGGGTCAGCGGTTCGAATCCTGTCGGGACTATTGACTAAAACTATGCTGAAATGTTTGATTTTTTTTCTTTTTTTTTTTTCGCTTTTTTTACTTTTTTTTTTTAAATAAACACTCTCTCGTACATCTTAGCCTCCGGGGTCGTAGGGTTGGGATTGGGGTTTAGTGTTTAGTTTTTAGAGCACCCTCTCGTACATCTTAGCCTCCGGGGTCGTAGGGTTGGGATTGGGGTTTAGTGTTTAGTTTTTAGAGCACCCTCTCGTACATCTTAGCCTCCGGGGTCGTAGGGTTGGGATTGGGGTTTAGTGTTTAGTTTTTAGAGCACCCTCTCGTACATCTTAGCCTCCGGGATTGTAGGGTTTTGGGATTAGGGTTTCTTGATAAAAAGACTAAGTTCCATTTTGCACTATTGCGCATGCGCACAAGCTGTTTTACGGAGAACAACGGACTGCCGGATCTATAGCCGCGCAGTAGGCGTCCGGCTGCCGGACCAATATCCACTTCCTTAATGTAATTGGGGCGAGCCTGAGCTCGTTGGGGCGAGCCTGAGCTCGCCCCACTAATTGGGGCGAGCCTGAGCTCGCCCCACTAAGGCGAGAAAGCGTCTGTATGTATGTACGGGCATGATAGGGTCGTCTAACTATCATTAAAGTTAAATAGCCTAAACTTCAATGAAAACGGGTGTGGTCACAATGAATAAAATGGCGGCCATCAGCAAGTCTGAGCTTATTTGCAGCAGACGGTCAGCAAGATAAGACTAAACTGCTGTCTAAGAACTTCTCTAGCAAGAAGAAAGGTTGGAAAGGCAGATATACAGTCTTTTCCTTGGCATAAAGGACTGTGCTAAGTTGAATGCAAGTGAGAAAGCTGCATGTACTGTACTGCTATAGCTGCTTGCATCATGACATCTATTCTAGGCCATGTTTCTTCTCTTGGAGCAAGCCTAGGTTAACAAAGCAGATATACAATCTTCAAACATGATTTTTTCAGTGACTGCTTCTAACTATAAGCAAGATAACTTTAATTTAAGCAAGATAACTTTAATTTAAGCAAGATGACTACAAGATACTGAATTTAGACATGTGCAATTGCTTTGCTAGCTCAGACATGTATATCATACAGCACATAATCTACAGCTTGCTTAGGCTCGCCCCTTTAATGTTTTACATTCGTCTAGTTATGTATTTAATGCTCATTGGGGTGAGCCTGAGCGAGCCCCACTAAGGCGATAAGCATCTGTTTGTCTGTACAGGCATGATAGGGTCGTCTAACTATTATTAAAGTTAAATAGCCTAATCTTCATTGAAAGTGGGTGTGGTCACAATGAATAAAATAGTAGCTATCAGCAAGTCTGAGCTTACTTGCAGCAAACGGTCAGCAAGATAAGACTAAACTGGTGTCCCAAGACTTCTCTAGCAAGAAGAAAGGTTGGAAGAGCGGTTATACATTCTATTTCTTGATATAAAGCACTCTGATAAGTTGAATGCAAGTGAGAAAGTTGCATGTAGCTACTGTAGCTATAGCTGCATGCATATTCTAGGTGATGTTTCTTCTCTATCAGCAAGTCTAGGTTAACAAAGCAGATGTACAATCTTCTTAAAATGTGTGACTGCTTCTAACTGAGATTCAGGTTTAAGTCAGTAATGAAGTGATAGAGAAAAATTAAGCAATAAGACTGTAACAAGATCTGTATTTAGACTTGTGCAATTGCTTTGCTTGCTCATACATGTAGATCATATAGCACATAATCTATAGGCCCCCTAGGCACTAAGATTATTTTCAATGAATGTGATTACAATAATGATATTCATTCATAATAAATAAAATTTTCCTATATGGTATCCACCCACGATGTAAATTACTGACGGCAAGAAGGCCTCAAGATCAAAAGAAAATCAAAGGTGGTAACACCGCCTGGCCATTTTTCTGAGCGCTACAAGGTACTATAGGCTTACAAGCAGCATTTATGGAAACTATGGAGGCCAGACTACATCATATAGACCAGGTAGCTCTTGCTGCAACATAGTTTTCTTGCTATGCTTCATTTTGGCAACTTGGGCTTTCATCTGCCTTTGATGTGGAGAGCTTCTTGCCGTCAGTAATTTTAATCGTGGGTGGCTACCGTAAATAATTCATACAAAATAGTCTTAGCGCCTAGGGGGTCTATAGCTTGCTTAGTCTCACCCCTTTAATGTTTTACATTCATCTAGTATCCTTACAATTGAGCGTAGGATACATCCCTGTCTGGAGGTGGTTCTGAGTACATAACTCCCATGAGATAAGTGGTCGAGGGCTACAAGATAAGTTGTCGAGGGCTATGCCCTCGACCACTTATCTCATGGGAGTTATGTACCCATAACCACCTCCAGACAGGGTTGTACTTATGCCATGGTAAAGTATTGCAGTATTGTTCTTATGTAAACTGCGATACCAAAGCAGTATACTCCCACTAAACATCAAAGGTTTTCATGGTAACCACCCACGCACCATGGTATAATTAATAATATCATCTTACCAAATTCAATTATCATTATTAGTTTTTTAATATCAGTGATATAAATACCCCATGGCACCTTCTTTCCTTCTCCAACATCTTTCATACTAAACTCTTCATATCCTCCAACAATTACTAGCCACGCACAGTGTGGTGACATTGTGACTGCTGTGAGTGAGTGTTTGTATCTACCAGTAATAGATTCAGGTAAAGGGATCTGTAGATAAAGAAAAGTATACAAGTAATTACTGATACATGATGTTTATACAGTTACTTATAAAAATGAGAAATTGTATGATTTCATATGTAGACGATTGTTATATTTACTGTAATTGTTTATTTCACATCAAGTGAAGAATAACAAAAATGCACAAATTTTACTATCAATAGGAAATGTGTTAATAGTACAAACACTTATACGTTAAAGTTGTGTAATTTTTAATCAAATGTGTGGGTGGTTTTATTGTATTGTTAATGTTTCATCAGTGATAGTATTATGTACTGAAAACACTTACAATTTTTTATAATATATACATCAGTACTAGTGTCATACTGTCAACTGACCTAACTATACACACACACATCATTACAGTACTATACACACACATACCTTCCTACAGCTGTACTGACCAGTAGTGATACTATCAAATAACAAACATTCATTAACTAGTTGATTATTATTATCCCGTCCACCAATCACTACTAGTGTAGGTGAGGTAGAGTCACCATTGATGATAGCACTAGCATGAGAGTCTCTCTCCACAGGCCACAGTCCCTCATTAGGTATTGCTCCTGGTTTCAGTATCTCCCAGTTCTAGATACATAAACAAATACCAATAATTATCTACTCTTGCAAATACTAAGAGTATCATTCAGCGTAAATATGAATAATGGGTGTAGTGATACAAATAATGGGTGTGACATGTAAATTATACTTTGACGTTAATGAGGTGAGGTTAGTGGTTGTCTTTAGTATCATACGTGTACAAGTACTGGAGGTATAGCAAATCTATTGGTACACAATATACTTGATAATATGCTAAGCATGACTTTACACTGCCTAATTATGAAAATACCGTATAGCGGGGTTTTTTTCGAGGATAATAAATTTCGCGAATGACCCATATCTGGAAGTTTGCGGAATTAATTTTCGCGAATTTTCACTAATCTGCCATCTTGTACCATATTAAATTGATTTTCAAGGAATTTAATTTCGCAAATCATGAAAAAATCCACGACATTCGTGAAATTTGTTATCCTCGAAACAACCCACTATATGGTATTTTATGCAGTATGAGAGTTTTGTGAATATTTAATATAATAATACACAAAATACAGTTAATATGAATACAACACAATATATCCTCTAGTGATAATACTGAGATAATGTATTACTGTACAATACAATACAACAAAATATAATACAACTTACTATTATACTATGTGTCACACTGAATATGTAAACACTGTTAGTACTTGTAGTCCCATCACCATTAACAGTCACTTTACCCCCAAACATTACTCCTCTGTTACCGGTAATAGTAATCTTCTCAATTATAAAATCATTAGTTGGTGGACAACACTGTCCACTGACAGATGGAACAGTGAAAAGTCCTAAAGTGAAGAGCATACAGTGATCATCTATCAATACATGCTAACAACAAAATGATTTTTATATTGAATTATATGTATGTACCATATACATGCACATGTAATTTAGTCATTAAGTCATTATATAATAAGTTATTTATTAAGAGAATTAATCTTACCAGTGGACACATTATAAAGTAACTGTTCATTAGTACGAACATGACCAGTCTTAAGCTGATCATATTGAAACTGAGGTTGGTAAACAGTTGGTGTAGAACCATACCCTCCTATTATGACAAGGTATTCTGCTCCATCAAATTCCAGTGATATCATTCCAGCAGTGCCTTTCTTCATTGACTGTTCAGCATTACTGCATGAAGTCCACCGCATCTTTATCGTATTCAGTACATTCAAAGTATTGTAGTAACAAAGATCATGACCACACCATCCACCAAAATAGTAAATATTAGAATGAGAGGTGGTACAGGAGTAGGCAATTACTCCTAATGGAGGAGTACCTCTTGTTAGGTGAGAGGACCAGTCACCAGTAGAAAGCCGGTAGACATCAACTGTTGAGGTCACTTCCCTCTTTTGAAGGGAGTCATGAACTGCAGGTAAGTCAACCTGGTTCCCTGCCCACAGGTAGAGGGACTCCCCTATTACAGGAGCTTTGTGTTCAGACCTCATTTCGAAACCTGTATGAATGAAAGAAATGAAGACAATGACTACAGAAGAATAAATAGAAAGAGAGAGCATGAAGACAGAGGAGGAGGGAAGATAGTAGGGAGAGATGGACTAACTTCTTCCAGACATCCTCTTCAGTCTCAATATCTATGACTATGATATTTACTAAATACCTAGCATTCCAACAAAAATAATTAATTATTAGTTAGACCACACCCTCTATTTGGTTTTATTAGTGACCACGTGCAAGAACGTGGCTACTGGCCATACAACACTGCTCTGCATCACTCATTGGTTAGAGAGAACTTAGAAGGAGTGATGAGGATATCAGAGAGACTATTTAGTACTCACAATGCTAATGTACTGGAATGTGGTGTTTCTGTATAAGTAGTAGTGTCATTGGTACTGGATAGAGCTATTAGAGAGGAGGGAAGAGTAGACAGTAAAGGAAGCATGTCATTTACTACAAGTGATGTACGACAGGATCACTTTATAATCACTGATTAGAGTCTTAAGGTGGGTTCTCAGTATGAGGCATGCACATCCATCATGACCGAAAGTGCTGTAAAAACCAATGGGAGCATGCATCAATACGTCAGATTAGAAAACATTTCTATTCTGACGCAATGACGCATTCTCCCAATGGTTTATACAGCACTTCCGGTCATGATGCTAGCACATAAAAAACAATGCATCATTTTGAGAACCCACCTTTAATCATGAACACCCATGCAATGGAACTGTGTGTGTTAACACCTCTTAGCCTTGAGCTTGCTCAGACTCACCACAGTTATTTATATGTAGTTGTGTTTAGAGTGTGTGCTGATGATGCTGATGTTGAAACACATATAACTCAGGTGAATTCCAGCAGGTGAGTCCATTGCACCATAGTGCTTCGTATTAATAGTGCATTAAGTAATAAAACATATAATTGATATAATTTAACAAAGCATGATCAAGACAGTACTGACTTTAACAAAGCTCTAACTTATACTTGTCAATAGAAAAGCCTGAGGTACACTAAAACTATATAATACTACCATCATTGATGTGATCAAAATTTGTATTGTGGTACCTTTATTTCATCATGTTTCACTAGTGTACTACTATACATTTACAGAATGTTGTAACTTGTAAGGAAGATTTGATCACATGCTTGGCAAAGTACATGTACATGAGCCTTAAACAAAGCAGATAATCAAAGAGCACATCTCATAGCTGAAAACTCAATTTTAATGGCATTATCTCTTTAGGTGAACAGCGTTGGGCAGCTGGACTGGAATGGAGCCTAATTGGTAAGTAAAAAGCCTCTGCATGTTATTATTACTATGCTCTTGTGGTGGTCAATTATATTCATATGCATGATTAATTAACACATTCAGTATAATATTCATATATATTAATATATTAATATATATTAATATTCACACTACCTATTTTAGTAGTGTGATTGTATGTTGCTATTTCATTTGTATAATCATTTGCTATCATTTCTCTTTTCCCACTCTTTCTAAAACAATCCCATTCTTCCTTTATTTCCTCTTTCCTTTCTATAACTCTCTCTCTTCTTCTTTTATCATTTGGTCAAGAATATTCATGATCCTCTTAATTCAATCATACAATCACACTACATTGGTAACTTGGGCGTGATAATGTAGTGTGATTGTATGATTGAATTAAGAGGATCACAAATACTCTTGACCAAATAATAAAAGAAGAAGAGAGAGAGTTAGAAAGGAAAGAGGAAATGAAGGAAGAATGGATTGTTTTAGAAAGAGTGGGAAAAGAGGAATGACAGCAAATGATAACAAATGAAATAGCAACATACACTCACACTACTAAAATAGTTAGACTGAAAGATAGAGATGAATGACAAATGATGAACGAATGATGAACGAAAGAGACAAACGAACTGGAGTTACTCTATTGAAATCTGTATATGTGTGTATATATAATGCTGACCACGTGTAACTATGTGGTTACAAGTTATAAATATTAATATAGATCTATTGAATGTATTAATTAATCATGAATATACATGTATATTGACCACCCACTCTCTCTCTTTAGATGAACAAGAGATGAAAAGAATTGGTCAGTACAGGCAATAAATTAGATCTTATGTCACATCTGCAAGACTACATAGTGCATGACTATTAAATGCACTCATAAAGTTGTGTTCTCTTTTTCACACAAAACTATGTAATACTGCATAACTATGTAAAAGTAAAATAAATCACTAAAACTATTGAAAAAATTTAAGAGTTACTTAGCAGTATATTAAGTAGTTCTAGTACATTTATTGTGGCATACATTTATAAACATCATCAGGTTATGTTTGACATTCATCATAGACTCTTTCATTCTGTTCACTTAGTTTAGTCTTGTGAATCCCATATGGTTCACATACTTGCATTGCAATATCATCATCAGCTCTATTATCATAATTTGTGCTAAATAACATAACAAAATTAAAACAGACTAACTTTGTTTGTTTATTAATACTTGGACATCTCTTTCTATAGCAAAACAATAACAGTTACTGTTTATTGTATTAACTATGTAACCTTACTATATAAAGCAGTAAATATGAACAACAACACTGACAGTTAGTAAACTGCACAATATACCCACTAGCACACTAAGAGCTATGACACTACTGAATGAATCACTAGTTGATGGAATTACTGAAAATATAGAAATTACTTTATAAACAGTACTGTTAAAGATAGAAAATGATAATTGAACTGATGAACACTATATATGCTGATATTGCTAGCGCATAATAATTACATACTTATTTCAATAATCTCTGCTACAATAGGATCACTGAAGGGACCTCTTCCAACAGAATTGACAGCAGCTACACTGAAGTTATACTCAGTACCAAATACTAGATCATTCAATATGACATATCTCTCAGTGCTGGTGAGGTTGTATGTGATACTACTGTTACTGACAATTACTGTATAACCTGTGATTAGACCATTACGCTGAGAATAATTGACCTCATTCCAAGTGAATCTATTAGCTGTAGAATTAACTTGTATTACTTGAATTAATGAAGGCCAACCACTAGGAACTACAAGTCAAAATTAATTATTAAAAAGAATAATTATCTATTACTTGTTGCTTTAGTTTGTATTGATATGTTTATAATTAATTTAGATCCTCCTAGTACATTACCAGCTCTCACTGAAATGGTATAGTTCATACCACTGTACAGACCTATTAATGTATAACTGTATGTTGTAGTGGACTGGTGAGGAGCAACAGAGACTGTCTCATTCACTGATGATAACTGGGGACAAGATGGAGTATAGGAGATGATGGTGTAGTATGTTATATATAGTTGTCATTACTGGGAATAGTCCAGTTCACTGTAATACCAGTGGTTGAGATGTTAGATACTGAGAGATTAGTTACTGGACTAGGAACTAGAACAGATATCAATTACATTCTCTCAATGATAATAACTTACCATCCAATCTTAACTCTGTTACTGTACTAGTAACAGAAGGAAGATCTAAATATGAATACACACTGATGGTATAGGTACTCAATGGTGAGAGATTTGTTAATACAGTTTCATTTATATTGGTAAATACAACATTATGGGTTACACCTCCAGTAGTATATACAATCACATATCCTTTAGTGACTGATGAATTAGTCCAGTTCACCTTGATACTAGTAGTATTTAATATAAACCCTCTCACATTGTTCGGAGGACCACTAGGAGCTAGAAAAGAAACAAAAGTACACTATTTATTTAGTATAATCATACCATGTAATATCACAGATTGACTGTATTTGACTCCTCCAATCATTGCTATACAGGTAACATTAACTGACACTCCCAGTGGATCAGGATATACCAGTAGTGTATTGTTGTACGTCAGGGCATCAATTGATGTAAACATTGAGTTACTCTTCATCACTCCATTTACTAACCAGTAAACATCAGTTGAAGGGTTTATACTTGTAGTTGTGAGACAATCAATACGATATTGAGTGTTATTAAGTTGTGTAATGGATGAGACTAGTATCCAATTGATTGAATTTATAACTAGAAATACATCAACTAAGTTGCAAGTACATTAAAACGTTATACCTGGTAAGGTCTGTACACTGATTGTATTACTAGCAGGTCCCAGTAATTGTTGATAAGCTCTGACTGTGATGCGATAAGTTTTTCCTATTTTCAGTTTATTTAGTGTGATTGTATTATTACTGCTTCCCTCCACCTGTACTGTCTGCAGAGTGTCTGTGTCACTAGTGACATTGACTACATATCCATCAGCATCAGATGAATCAAGTGCAGTCCAACTGACAGTGATAGTGGTAGTTGTCTTGTTGACCTCAGTAAGAGAAGAGGGAGCAGTTGCTGGTACTAATAGAAGAGACACATTTAGTAGTATACATAATGTATTCATACTTTTATATGCATTACCTTTTATGGTTAAAGTTTGTGTTCTATCATCACCATTATAAAAATTATCCAGTACACACCAGTACATTTGATCTCCAGTGGTTGATTGACTGATTGATCCACTACTGACAGTCATTCCATCCCATGTGATAGTAACAGTATATTTTATTGTGTTGGTACTACTAACTAACACAGTACCAGGACAAGGGGAAGTATCATCATTACAATTAGTGTAACTGGCCAGTGCAGCATTACCACCAATGCTCATATTAATACTATATTCCCAGTGTCCAACTTTAATGCAATTCAGTTTGTACTCCTGGGGATATATTGTCATGTTTGAAGGAAGATCAGCAACATTAAATGATTCTATCTCTGCAAATACTACAAATAAAATTATTACATCAGTAACTGATTATAATCTCTTCTTACTGAATATATAAGCAAAGATGATGTTAGTGTTCGGATTTGAACAACTAGTGGGTAGACAACACTTGTACCAGCCATCACCATCTGTCCCCAGATAACTTGGTGGATCTATGTGAACACTGAGGTTAGCACCTGACCCAGTAGTACATTGAATATTTTGAATATTACTACCATCACAAGGAACTGTTCCATTAGGACCAATCCACTGTCCACCATTAAGAGTCTCACCAGATAATACACACTGTAGAGGAGTTGGTCTGATACTACTATCCCAAACATACGATCCATTAGAATAACAGTTTCCATCATGCATCAGGTAGATACCTATAAAACCTATACAGTTGTTGCTATACACATCCAGTGTCTTACCTGAGGAAGGTGGACATTGACTAATAACTTCACTGACACTCAACAAGAAGACAACAGACAATACCGATACTAGCAATGCCATATTAACAACACAGACTGAATAGAATTATTTTTGTTACAGTATACTGTTACTTTTAGACAAATTAGTGCATAAGATGCATAATTTTACTATTGAAATTTGTTTACTTTCCCTTAATCAATGGCAATTCAAAACAAAAACATGTTTATTGTGACTAATGCATCACTTAAACCTTGCATACACATGCAACTAAGTTTATACATCATCAATACAAGCATATGTCACCAGAACTTAGTCTCCTTCACATCAGGTGCTATAGGCTATAAAGTGTGAAAATGGCTGGTTGTCATTATATTCAGACCATCAATATCTATAAATTGTATAATATTATGTCATTCTTATTTATAATAATTGTACACATGCAAACACAAATAGGAAGTCTTAGAGGCAGATGCCAGTCATAATCAGGAACAGTGGACAAGATAGTCTAATATTACATTGAGAAATCCTCTTGAAGACTCTGGAACAAGAATTATTCAAGTTTGATTAAACTTACAAACTCAGCAAAATGGCAATGGGTGCTTACAACCTGCATGCAGCAAAAGCTGAACAGGTACACAGTCCATCCATTCCTACTATTACTTGAAATAAGTAAAAAGAAAATAATCATTATATAATTTTAGCATGAATTGTCCCAAATTTACTGAGGAATGCCTGAAAAGGATACAACTGTACATTGGTACAAACAGAGGGGAGCTGGAAAATCATTCTCAATTTTTGGAAACAAATAAATTATACTAAGCCATTGCACCAATGAATATTCATTTAGGTATTGTATGAGGCAAGTTATTTGATCAGATATCTTCAGCTAAGGACACACTTTGTCAAGTCAGCATTAGCATGATGGAAGTATACAATAATGAGGTGTGAGAACATTAAAATAGTGCTATAATTATTAGAGAAATTTTTTAAGAAGGTTTCCAAAAAAGCAGACAAAAATAATAGTAACATATCATAATCTAAATACAAAAATTATTGTACTGTACGTGCAGCACATTATAAAATTTAAACATCTACAAGTATTTTCTAGTTATAGCTTCAGCTAGGTCTTGTCTATTTACCAGATTTGATTTTAGGACTTCAACAACAGTACTCCAAGTATAGGGACGTTTCTGAGTTTGCTTCCATTTTTGAAACACGGCAGTATAACAAGAGTTTGGATCATCACGATATTGATCGCTAATGGCAGTCACATGCTCAGGACTGATGCTAAGCATAATAGCAACACTCCTCCATTTATCTGGAGCCTTTGCTGCCACATCATTCATAAGGTCAGCAAAAGCAGGACCTGCTCCTGTCATAAAACAGAAAAATAAGCGTACAATGCAAAAAAATATAATTATAATTAACTAATTGCACCTTATAATAGAATTTTTCCTTACCATGATCAATATCTGTGGCTGCTCTTAATACTGAAACATGCCTGTCTACTGCATCACTAAAATTTGCTAAAGTGAGCAATAGAAACTGATAAAGTTGCATTAGACTGCGAACAACTAACCTTCCCAGGAAATGGTCACTGATTGTGGTGAATTGCTTGTTCCTACTACATTAATTTTATGCATGAAACTTTCATTCAGTCTTGGAGCTTCAATACGGATAGCAACATTAGGAAGGTCACCACGATAGCAGCAATATAATTCAACATCTTCCTTGAGAATCTAACAAGTATAATTTTAGCTTCATTGTTATCATTAATTAACTTTACTTCACAGGGATCTTGATAACTTGTTATTTGCCATCCTTCCATGGCAGGTGTTTCTAAAACACTAAATGCAATTTGAGGGTCTGTAAAAGAGAATATTGCTTCAGATGATGGCATTCTTTCCATTGACCTTCTGGTCAATTCATCAACAGCATTCTAAAAAATACATGAAGAAAGTTAAATACAAAGAATATGTGTTGTATACCTGAATGTGTGCTGAATTATTCTGTGTTACAACAAGGTATATATTCCAGACTTTAGGATTAGCAGTGCATTGACGAAAGGCTAACAATTTGTAGCGGCTGACAGGCGGATACCACACATGAGACCAAAGTGTTGAAGCAGCTTCTTTTATGATACCAAAGAAAGTAAAAGAAGATGTTTCTATCATTCCATATGAAGAGCCAACTTCAAAATGGCCCGCAGAATCCTTTACCAGTGCATTAAACTCATAAGGTGGTGAGTAACCAGCATGCTCAGCTTTAGCAAAGTATAGAAGCTTGCATTGTGAAGGATTAACTATTTCAATGCAATGCTGGATTCTAATCTGAATTGGGTAGTCAAGCTTGCATGAGGTGCCAATAGCATAGATTGCACTGACTGGAATTGTATCATGAGGGAATGAGAAACTTCCGTTTACTACTGGTATGACAGCAATATCAAATGAAGTGACTGAGGAAGGTACTGCATTTTCAGGAACAATGATACTAATGCCTTGTTCTTCCCAGAGTAATGTCTGCTCCACGTTTCCAGTAATTGTGTAAAGCCTTTGGTTTCTGAACAATACTTGCTTAAACTGATCTGTAGGAAGACAATTTGTGAGGATTTACACAGAGTAATAGATCTACCTGAAAAGGGCACAAGAAAATTAAACTGAAAACTGTGATCTTTGACAATTTGTTCTTTATTTCCAGATGCTTTTAGCAACACTGGTTCATTTGTTATTTCAAAGACCAAAAACTTATGATCTTGAACTAATAGCTACATAGAAATTCAAAATTATGATGGTTTGCTAACCTAATGAATCTTGACAACTCTTGCTAACTTTTTTGGCTTTGGGAGAAAATTTTTTAACTATAGAATTAGTTAATACAATATCAAGAAAAGTTCAATTTCTCACCCTCTTTCAGTTTCAGAAAAGCATCATCAAAAATTTTATAATCAGCAAAAGCCTTGTCATTTTCCAGCTCAATATCGTCATGAAGTAAAAATTGAGATGAAGGATTGATCTCAAATTGTTGAAGCAGCCTTAGCTTTAAATTGTATACTCTTTCATTTGAAACAGTTGATATAGACGCCATCTCACCAGAGGGCATCAAAATTCTGACATAAAAGTGGACATGAAGATCAATAATTGACTTTTCGTGGACATAATATTCACTAAGAGGAATGTTGTTACTTGATAATAATTTGTTATTTGACCTATTAATGAGGACTTGCTTGCTGACTGGTATCTTCATCTTCGCTTCAATTTGCTCTTTTAGTTGAGCTGTTAAGTCACCCAGTATTACATCAAACTCCAGAGTAAGATTGTCTGATAATACTACACTAACAGTTGTCTTCAGATGTGGGTTGATCAACAGCCTTATCTCAAATTTTTCTGATGGGTGGATATTTTCAAAAAATCCTAAGTTCTTTAATGTTTCTTCATTATTAAGAATTTTTCCATTAAAAACGAGGAGTTGCTGATGTGCAGGTATACCTAGAATGAGCTCTGTATGTTTTTTAAAGCTAGATATAGTCTCATGCATTGCCACAGAAACATTGATGGGCCAAGAATCCACCATTGCAATAGTGAAATCACGACTTACACTTGGTGCTCCACGAAGACGAGTAATTGCAAGAATTGTAGATTCTCTTTGAATATTATAATCGGATAAGGTACGATCATTTTCCATTTGTTTGCCAGCATAAATGAGCCTTAGCTGATGAGGTGGAGTACCTTCTTTGTCTTGAAATTTTAATTTAACAAGCCATACAGTATCAGAAGGCTCAACTTCAAGCGGAATGGTCATTCCTGATAGTGTCTTGACATAAATCTGCATGCCTCCTCTCAAAAGAAGCAAAAGGTGAACTGTAGAGTATTTCTGGATACAATAATCTGAGATTTGGCTACCATCTTGTAGCTCTTTACTGCTATAAAAGTAGCCTCTGCTCCTCTATGGGTATTCCTTCCTTCTGCCAGATGATTTTTTTAACGTTATAGATAACAGTTTCTGGATCAACATCAAGGGCGATCGTTGAGTTATCTGCTTGAAGAACGAAAACCTGCATCACAGGCTCCATTAGTGGGGGAGTTTCTAGATCTAGATCTAATTAGTAATTACCACACCCTAAATTCATAACCAACAACACAAACATAACATGCAAAATAAAGTCAGCACAATGCAGTAAGTGCAAATTGTAGAATTCATTTATTCCCTTCACCAGGCTAAATTGCAAGTTAGACTAGATCTACCCCTCGTGTGTCAAGATAAAGCCGGACAGCATACATAACCTTGTACACACCATTATTTTTTATAGATCTATTGCTCTTTTCACTTCCTCAGTTGAGGGAGGATAAGGTGCTAAAGTCAAATTAAGTTTCTTCATCAAACAGTTCATAACATCATCAACGTAATAATGAATTACAAGGTCAGCTTTCTTGTCCTAAAATAAAACCAAACCACAAATAAACATCCATTGTACATTAAATATAGCATTTAGTTATATTGTATTATACTCTACTATTGTTAGATAAAGTACTACAGTTTTACTCTTACATATTGAGTTGGTTGCAGGTTACAGATGACTAGTTTCCCATTATTCTTCTTTACCCTTAGAGGCAGTTTGCCTGATGGAAGTATTTGGAGTGTAGTACCAAGACAGAGTGAGAGGTCAGATTGAGTTGAGTGCAGTTCCGCTCGTGATAGATCATCAGCTGGTAAATCATCTTCCCAATCTAATACTGTGTCACGTAATTTACCTCTAGTAAATATATGTGTGCATGAGCATAAACAAGAATAATGGTATTGTAGTATTATTAAATTATTAATTTATAACATATCTCATTGATAATGAATTATTAAGCTATTTTCATAGGCGTAGGAATGATTCAAAAGTTGGGGGGGGGCTCAACATTAAAAAGCATGACTTAGCATGTGAACATTGGGGGGCTAAGCCCTTCTTGCTGAAAAGTTGGGGGGCTTCAGCCCCCCCCTCCCCCATTCCTACGCCTATGATTTTAGGTTTTTATTTAAGACTTCTGTTACACATGCAGTTAATTTTCAAAGCTTTTTGCCCTGGTTATTTGTCAATAATTAAGCTTATTTTACCTGCATCGTCCTCTAGCTCCCCCTCCAGTACATCTATTCCCAGTGTATTTGAGTCCTATTGTAGGCACCACTTTATCATGGACGTACTCTCTAAATTAAACTAGGTCATGATGTTAATGTTACCATAATTGCTCACTTGCTACACTTTTCACATTTCTCAACAAACATGTTACCATGTAATTCAGAAAGATGTTCCCTATAATGTAATAACAATATTTTAACAAAGAGTAGAACTTCAATTTTCCAACGAACATAGTTACATTAACAGCATAAAATACCGTTACCTATCTAGTCCTGATTTGAGATGGAGGCCGTCAACATTCTGGCTAACAATGTATTTAATAATATCCTTTTCCACCAGTTTAGTAAGTGATAAATGAGTGAGTGTTGGAAGAGCATCTTCAAAGTGAACATCAACGTCAAGTTTCTCTCCTTTCTTTTCCAAAGTCCAAACTCCTTTAGGTCCACGAAAATCAGGAATACCTGCATATTAAATGCATACCTTAAGGAGACAATTATTAGCGTGTACTTATTTTAGCGATTTTCATAAAACTGACATTTGGCTGGTACTTAATTTAGCGTTTTTGATCATTTGGTATTAATAACTTTTAGAAGAATGAAAGCCTAAGCAAGCTATAGATTATGTGCTGTGATCTACATGTATGAGCAAGCAAAGCAATTGCACAAGTCCAAATACAGTTGATCTTGTTGCACTAATCTTGCTTAAATTGCTTCATCACTGACTCTGCACTGAGCCATTAATAGAGCTGTTGCACGGATGTAATCAACGGGGTAGGTGGAGCTTCCTGTCGGCCATCTTGAGTGGCAAGAATGTACACGCAACGAATGGAGGAATGGAAACAAACTGCAATTTTTCATCAAAGAGATATCATACTTCGCTGCAGAATATTATAGAGACTTCTTTACTCAATATCTTCATCTTCTATCTTGCATTAGCCTGGAATGTCAACTGCAGAATTTATTTAATTTTTTTCTCTGTTCCCCCATTCATTCTTGGCCTTCTTGCCACCCAACATGGCAGACAATTTAGCTCAATTTTAGCCACACCCTCCCGTTGATTACTTCCGTGCAACAGCTCTATATGTAAAGTTATTTTGCTTACAGTTAGAAGCAGTCACTGAACGAAGAAGATTGTCATCTGCTTTGTTGACCTAGGCTAACTGCTAGAGAAACCTTTGGACAGCAGTTTAGTATTATCTTGCTGACCCTTTGCAGCAAATAAGCTCAGACTTGCTGACGGACGCCATTTTATTCATTGTGACCACACCCATTTTAATTAAGAAATTAAAATTAGCGCGGACTTAAGTTAGCGATTTTTTAAAAATTGCTAAAATTCGCTAAATTAAATACCCGCAAACAATTGTCTCCTTAAGGTAACACTCTAGTAGACATAATCCTCCAATAGAATAGATATCATTGTGTTAATAAAAGACATTCTACAAAGTCATACCATTTATGCAATGCCCTGGCCTTGTTCACACCTCAAACTAGCTTGTTTGCACCTCAAATAGTTAACAATTTTTTATTCTTAATTTTTTCAAGGGTGAGCAACCCCAAGTTTTGATTTTTGACACAAATTTTAAAAATTATAATAATTATAATTTCATTGCCTTCCCTAATTAGAGCCACTAACCAGCAGAAGTGCTTATACCGGCTCCTGTATGGGCCACAGCGTGTGAGGAAGATCCTAACCATTCACAAAGTAGGCTCACTTTCCTCTCTACCTCTTCCCAGGCATCATAAACCTACATACATCACAAACAAGAAATTATAATCCTAACTGTTATAATCATAAGATGCACTATCTATGGTAGCCGATAGTATAGTAGCTTATAAAGGTGACTATTACCTCAGGAACTCCACAAACTCCTTTATCCCTGTACTCTGATAGTCTTGAGGCATAATTAACAGACATTGCCACTCCCATAAAGTCATGGTAAGATTTATTAACAGTGTATGCGTTTAAAAATTTATA